CCTTAGCCGCTTGAGCCACAGGCGCCGAGCCTCTTCTTTTAAATCAGTTTGTTAACATCAAAGTGTTTTTTCAGGGAAAAAACCCAGATAGTCATCACACATGAACAATGGAAAGAAGGTAAAAATTATACACACATCCACATGATTGAACAGCTCATGGCCATAACATCCCCTAAAAATTGCTAAAAAGGATACACAACAATATGAATGTACTTAATGCCAGTGAACTATTAACTATTTAGAAATAGTTAAAATGATACATTTGATGTTATGTGTATTTTACCATATCCAAGAAGAAACAGCAAACAAAAAATACAAATATGCTAAAATGATCCACATAATTTACACATGCATGTGCCGTAGGCAGTCAAGAAAAGTCCCCAGAAAATGTAGGACTGGCATAGAGGTAAAGAGTGATGCATATATTTTTTATTGGGAGGATCTTTGTCTACAGCAGTAAAAATTCATTATTAAAATGATATTATCACTTTACACAATCCTCTGAGAGATCCCATCTTGGTGGGGAGGCTCCAGAGCTGTATTTGGCCAGCAGATTATTTTACCTGCTTAAGTCTCTACCATAGAATAACTTGTCCTTCTAAATGGCCAGAGATGAAGTATTCACTCAGATGGGGCAGCACTCAGAGAGCTGGGCTGTCCCATGGGTCTGTGCAGGAGGTGGCCTCACCCTTCCGTGTGCTATACAGAGGCTGCACAGATGTGACACACGTGAGAACCCCTCCCTCAGACTTCTGCCCTCACTGGTCTCAGAAGAGAGGGAGGCCTCAGATACAGCCTCCTCCACTGAGGTTACAGCCCTCCCCAGAAGGGCACTTCTGGTGCTGTGACAGACATTCCACAGCAGCTCAAAAGGTGGTGGCAGGAAGTGAGCTCCATGGAATTCTCGTGTTCCTTTAGGTGCTCCGTATTTTGGAATCTCAGATCCACATGAGAATAACTATAACTTAAGGGACCCTCTCCCCCCTAAAAACGTACTCACACATAAAAGCATGCATATAGGCTCCGCACCTGTAGCTCTGTGGTTAAGGAGCTGGTCACATACACCAGGGCTGGCAGGTTTGAGCCCAGCCTGAGCCAGCTAAACAATGACAAGTGCAACAAGAAAATAGCCGGGCACTGTGTAGTCCCAGCTACTTAGAAGGCTGAGGCAAGAGAATCGCTGAAGCCCAAAGAGTTTGAGGTTGCTGTGAGCTGTGATATCCCAGCACTCTAATGAGGGCAACATAGTGAGACTCTGTCTCAAAAAAAAAAAAAACATACATACAATCTCAAAGAATTCATCACATCAAAGCCTTGCATCTATCAGCTATTACAGAACAAAGAAACAAAATAACCTGCAATCCCGCCCTGAAATACCACTCTGTCAGGATCTTGGTGTACACCCCTCAGAATCTTTCTTTGCATATAGACACATTATTGTTGGCATTAGTTTCAACAAAAATGGAATTGTATCACATATGATATCGCACAACCTGCTACTTCAGTTAGCAGTGGTTTGCTATCAGAGGCAGCCTGAGCAAAACAATGCCCCCCACCCCCAAATTCACACATTGGATTCCTAACCTCAGGACCTTAGAATGTGGCCTTATTTGGAGGCACAGTCTTTACAGGGGTAATGAAGTTACTATGAGGTCATTAGGGTAGACCCTCATCCAGTATGGCTGGCATCCCTATACAAGGGGAAACTTGGACACAGAGGCAGAGGGATGCCCCATGAGGATGAAGGATGTATCTGTAAGCCAAGGAACACTCACATTGCTGACAAGCCATCAGGAGCTGGGGGACATCCTCCCTCCAGCCCTCAGAGTAGCCCCCTGCCAACATCTTGATCTCAGGTTTCCAGCCTCCAGAAGGGTCAGAGAATAGATTTGTGTTGGTTAAGCCACCCAGTCTGTGGTACAACCATCCCTCCTCAGCATCCATAGGGATTGGTTCCAGGATCCCCAGGGATACCAAGATTCAGGAAGTACTCCCATCTCAGGCCTTGATGCCCCCCACAGCCTCCTTGTTGGTCTCCCCACTCCTCTCCTCTGGCTTGGGCACCTCCCCACTGGGGTCCCCAGCTTCCTTCCAGAGGTCTCTATGTGGGGTCCACAGAGCCCAGAGTCATACTCATCTGCCCCCTACAAGCTGCCTCCTCCTGGGTCCTCCTTGTCTCCCAGAAACAAGCATCACCCCTGACCAGCAATCCCCCTCAAACCTTTGCATCACTAAGTCTTCCCCACCCAGGCTCTAGCAACCCTAACCCCACCACCATGTTTCTCTACCTCAGCCCTATTGAGACTTAGGGCCAGATAACTCCTCGTTGTAGGGCTGTTTTATACCTTATAGGAAGTTTAGCAGCATCCCAACCTCTACGTACTAGGTGACAACCAGATGACAAAACCTACCACCAATGTAACAACAAAAAATACCTCCAGCCATTGCCAAATGTCCTCTGATGAGAGCAGCAACACTGTCCTCACTCAGCTGCCTCCATTGGCTTCTGGCTTGGACCCTGCCTCAGGCCTCCCACTAGGCCCCCAGCCTCCATCCATATCCATACCTCACATCCTAGGAGACTGATTACCTGGCTGGGAGGTCACTAGTGAACAAACTGATAAGTAACTCTAGTTCTAATGAAGTTATGGTTTGAGCTGGGGAAGGATGTGTCAGCACCTGCCTAAGGCTCCCACTTTGACCTGCAGGGGACTGATGCTCCCCACTCCCAGTTCTCTCCTTAGCACTTGGGACAAGAACTCCCTCACTGACCTTTGTCCTAAACAGTAACTCCTTGAGAAACCAAAGAAAGATGGACTGAGCTCACACGACCATTTTCACCTATCAATTGCAGAAAGAAAAAAAAAAAAAAACTCTTAAATTAAAATAGCCAAAGCTGCCTAGGGTGGGTAAACTAACAATCGCATTCCCAATGCTGCCATTCTGGGGAGCATTTTGATGATACCAGCAAGATTACTTTGACCAAGTAATTCCATTTTTTAAAGGCAATCCTAAACAAACAATACTACACACAGAAAAAAAATCTATGGACAAATATGTTAGTATGGCATAATTTCAATACTAAAAAAAATGGATACAACTCAACTGTCCAGTCCAGGGAAAGGTTGAAAAAACTTTAGTAAATCTTCTCAACAGAAGATTGTATAATCACTTAAATAAGATCTATGAAAATTATATAATAAATGAAAAATACAAAATATAAAACTGCATTTATAATGTGGCTAAAACTATGTTTTTAAAAACACAGCATCTGAGGAGGAAGTAGGTAGATAGGACTACAAGGGATTTTTATTTCTTCTTTGCACCTCTGAACTTTTCAAATTTTCTTAAAGGCACACATTACTTTAAAGTGTTTTTTAATGGATTGTTTTAAAGGGAAGAAATAAGTACATTCTGTGGGTTAGAGCTATGTGATCTTGAAAGACCCCTGTCAAAAGCATTACCCCACTGGACAGGCACTTCCTGGCTCACAGGTGCTTAAAAGTAGACCATGGCCTGATTTGGTCCCACATCCACACTTGGTCTTCATGAAAGATTAAGTCAAGGGACAGTTATGTTGTGATAAAAGGACCAAGAGAAATCTTAGGTGGTACCTAGAAAGAATTTAGGATAGGGAGCCAGAATGAATACTGGAGGACTAGCCCTAGAGGGGGTGAGATGCAAGGTGGGGGGTGGGGTTCATGTCCCTACCACCTGCTTCTCGATCACACCCTTCTCCCAAAGGACATACATTCAGGAGACTAGAGAGAAGTGAGAGGCAATGCTCACGGAGGAATGAGTTATAGGGGTCTCTCCTTAAGAGCTGAGTCAGGTAAGCCTGTGCTTCCCCATACCCTACCAACCACACAAGTTCAAGGGCATTTTCCTCTACCAATGGCTGCAAAGTCTCAGTGACTTGGATCTGCATGAAATCTGACCTCAAAAGTCCCACACTGCCCTAGAGATTGGAGCTATTTTCTTTTACTCCAAGTGCTAATAACATCTACAATCAACCTGGTCCCCACCTCTATCCTCTGAGTTGGAAGCTGTCAGAGAATCCCATAGTCAGCTGGACCTAGAAACCGCGAGAATGCCTTCCACAAGAGCTCTGAAGGCCCTGAACCCTCTGGTAAGAGAAGGGGGAATTCTGTTACTTGGAAGACGATGCCAGGAGATGAGCTGTAAGAGACCCAACAAGGCAGGAGCAGCCCCAGTTGGCCTCTCTCCCCATGCTTCTGGAAAGGTCTGCAGGACAGCATTCCCTCAGCATCCAGCCTTCATGAGGACAGCAGGACAAGAGGGAAGTTTCTGCGGTATACCTGCAAAGGGACATAGGTGGGGAAAGCCACTGACCTTCTCCAGCCTCTCAAAATGCTCCCGGAGGAACTTCATGGGGTTGTCCGGCTTGCAGACACACAGGTGCACCACACAGTCTTTGAGGACCTGCTGGATGTTGTGCTTCTGAACATACAGCTCACACATCTTCACGCTGTCTTCCTCCTCACAGGGGGCACTGGGTGGAGAGGCCATGGTGAGGGTGTCTTCCGTCCTGTTGAGGAAAACCCAAATCACAGGGGCCTCAGGATGTGGTGGGGGACACTGGGGCTGCTCCTTATGCTTCAAAAATATGCACGTGATGTAGAATAAGGTTTATCCTTGTGCTAAAACCCAATTACTTCTATGGGGTTTAGCAACACAGAAGTAATTTATGTTGCATTTGTCAAAGATCTTCCCTTATGTTGGGCTAGGTGAGTTGTTACAAACAACCCCCAAAGCCTTACCTCTAAGCAGGTCCCGGCAGGGACAGGAAGGCTCAGACAGCGGTGTGTGTGGCTTGGCAGGTGGGAGAAGGCGGTGCCCCTCGGTGTCAGGCCCTGGCCTTACGAAGCCTCACTTTTGTCCGTCCCCCCCTTTAAGGACACTTGTGTGAACCGTCAATGTTGTCACGACCCGCGGCCTGCCGGAGGTGTCCTCCACAGGCGCTGAGGGGAGGGAGGGGAAGGGGGAGGGGAGAGGGAAAGGAAAGGGAAGGGGGAGAGGAGGGGAAAGGAAGGGAAGGGGAAGGAGAGGGGAAGAGGAGGGGAGGGGAGGGGTGTGCTGCGGTTAAGGGCTGGTGGTTTCACAGGAAAAGAAAGAAAAAAAGGAGAAGAGCGGAAACCTCCTGGAGTATGGAACGGGAACAATGCAGGCTGCGGCGGCGCGTTCTCAGCGCAGCGAACCGGGTTAAGTCACAATGCCCAGGCCCCGGGCGGCCGCCCCCGCCCCAGACCCTGCTCCCTCGGCCCGCTCCGCCCGGCCCTGCACGCGGAGGAGCATTCTCGGGCCGTGATGGGGGCGCCGGGGTTTGCTGAGCGCGGGCCGGGACGTTGCCTCGGCCAGAGGGGTCGCGGGCTGATTCCACCTTGGACGCCTCGCTGCGAGGGGGCCGGGCACCTCCCGTCGCCTGCGTTCCCGACAGGCCTCCCAGGCCCCGCCAAGACCGAGCTCCAGACAGGGCCGGGGGGCCCGGCGCCGACCCCACCCCAGCCCCGCATACCTGGATGCGCGGCGCCCGAGGCCAGAAGGCGGTTGCGCGAGGACGCGGGGACGCGGGGACGGCGGGCGAGCGGGTCCCCGCACTGCAGCGGCGCCGCCCTCCGCGCCCGCGCCCGCCCCCGCGCTGCGCGCTCGCTGGCTGCACCCAGAGTGGACCTCCCGCGCGGGAGTCTGCCCCGCATCTCCCCACCGACCGACCTTCTCCGGCCCCCTTACCCCGCCCTCTTCTCAGCCCCTCCCCCGGCCCGCTGCCGACTCTCCCCGCCTCCACTCTGGCCGAAGGGGGACACACAGTGGGTCTGGACACACAGTGGGTCTTGACACACCCACACGTTCCGTGGCAGGCCACCCAGGACCACCTTCATCGCTCCACACCGACTCACCCTCCACTCAGACCCTGGTGTCGCCCACCCTGGCCATGGCCAGGGCACCCACTGCACCCGCAACATTCTTTGAGCTGGGGGGTCACGTCCATGTGTCTATACTACACCTGGCTCCAGCAAGCACACCCGCTTTCTGGGGTCTCTCTGACTCAAGGGCCTGAGAGGGTAGCCAGGTGGGCCCAGGTGACCCCAATGAATCAAGTCCATTCCCTTTTCTTGGTTAAGGGCACCAGCTTCACCCAGATGCCCTAGTGGGAAAAGGCAGGGGCATCCTAAATTATTCCCACCATTCCTGGGGGTCTCCTGGGTGATATCCTAATCAGAGAATTTTTCTTATTTTTCTATTGCCCCATTCTGCTAGGGTGGTGGCAGAAACTTAGTCTCTCTTTCCCTAAAGCAGTGGTTCTCAACCTTTTTAATGCCACAGCCCCTTAATACAGTTCCCGTGGGCCACGGGTTGAGAACCGCTGCCCTAGAGGGTCTGAATACCAGGAAAGAGGACAGGGAGCTCATGCCTTGAAGGAGACACTGTCTACTCACTGTCCAAAGTCACCTGTCCACACTATGTCCTAATCACCTATTCCACACTCACCTGTCGGCTTCCCTGCCCCATGCTCCCTCATCCCCCACTCACCTATTCACTCAACTGTCCCCACATATCCACATTCACCTGTCTTCCCTGTCCTATGCTTACTTGTCCACATTCAACTACTTGTCCCTAATCACCTGTCCACACTCACTTGTTCTACCTCTCCCACAATCACCTGTCCACACTTATCTGTCCTATGCACACTTGTCAGCTATTCACCTGTCCATACTCACCTGTCCATGCAGTGCTCCACAGGCACCAGCCCTGCCAGCATGCTTCACCACAGGGCGGCATTGCCCAGCTCCTTCCTGCTGGCCTGAAGGTAAACCGAATAGGCCAAACAAGAAGCTCCCCTGGGTGGCGCCTGTGGCTCAGTGGGTAGGGCACCAGCCCCATATACCGAGGGTTGCGGGTTCAAACTCAACCCCAGCCAAACTACAACAAAAAATAGCCGAGTGTTGTGGCAGGTGCCTGTAGTCCCAGCTACTTGGGCGCTCAGGCCGCTGAGGCAGGAGAATCGCCTGAGCCCAAGAGCTGGAGGTTGCCGTCAGCTGTGATGCTACAGCACTCTACTGAGGGCGATAAAGGGAAACTCTGTCTCAAGAAAAAAAAAAAGAAGCTCCCCTGATTCTTCACACCTGGCCCTCAGGACCCTCTCTGGCCCTGGCCATACCTCAGGCAGATTCACTCTTGTCCTGGATTCTCCTACTGGAAGAGAGCCTTTTTCAGAAATTTGAGTCCAGTCACCTGAACCAAAACGCCCAACCCACGACCAACTGACCCTTAAGCCATCTCTCCTCTTGGGCCTGCCTGGAGCTGCTGCAGACCCTTCTCCTCCTCCTCCTCCTCCAATTTCTCTAGCTCCTCCAGCATGGCCTGGTGCAAGGGTGACAGAAAAAGACCAGGTTTCACCCCACCATGGTGGTGGTCTGGCTTTTTCTCTCATGTGACCTTCCCAGGGTTCCCTTGGGAGGAGATGGGGAACCCTCCCTGGCTGACCTAGGACAGCCCTCCGGCCGTGAGGCACCTTTTTCTGCTGGGAGGCCTCCCCCTTGGACCATGTCCTTGTGAGATGAGCACCTCCCAAGTTCAGGGATGGCTATCAGCAGGAGCTCCTAGCCCACCAGAAACTGGCCCCTTGGGCTTGCTCAACTTTGGCTTCTGGCTGAGCCCCTCTCCCACACTACGGTGGCAGCATCCTCTGCCAGCCTCTCTCCTGCAGACATTGCAGGAAAACTCAGATTCCTGTTTGAGCAGCCCCCATCCCCCAGGGGCCACCAGTCAGCACCCCTAAGAACTCCTTCCCTGCATTCACTCTTGTAGTAGTGCAGGCAAGGCTCCCATTGCCCCACACTGGGGTAAGCCTTTGCATCACCCCAAGGCACTCTGCTGGCTACCCCTAACTGGCTTGAGCCAAAGGCAAACACACCAAAATGTCCAGCTAACTGTCTGATCAATCCCAGAGGTAAAATCAACACACGAAAGTGCCAGAGAAAGAATTACAGAAGAATGGAGCCAGGACCATGCTCAGACCATGCCTGGACCTCAACCTACACCATGCATCAGGGCTTTCCAATTATGTTCACCAACAAATGCCTTTTGTTGTCCAACCCAGTTGGCTTATTACTTCTTGTTGGTAGCAACTGAAACATTCAAGGGGACACATCTCTGATCTGAGGTATACACTCCTACTCAGCACAAACGCCTCCACTAAATGGCCTGAGATTAAGCAGAGAAAAGGGTGTGGGGAGCACAGATGACCTGAACTTGGTCATCAAACTATGTAGGCCATCCATAGTAGGTTACCACCTTGCTCAGCAGCAGCAAATCCTGGCTTTTATGTGGTGTCTAAGCAGCTGCTTCCTTATGAAAACACAGAGCTGGTGGTTGGCTGTCCACTGGAAACTCCCGTAAACACACTGGGCTGAGAAGGAGTGGGGAGCCCTGTGATTTTCCCTGCAAGGTTCATCAAGGGACCAGATGTACTCATAGTGACCAAGCCTTGCAATGATCCAACCTCAAAGGCAAACTCTGCTCTGCCAACTCCTATTTATCCCCTAAGATTTAGCTTAACTGTCACTTCTACAGGAAAATTCCCTAGGCCACCTCCGCCCATTGCCTCTGGAGGTCCCAGGGCTCCCAGTGCATGGTGGTTCCCATCATAAGCACAAGTAAATAATTGTGTGGAAGGTGTTGGCTTATTTCCTGTCTCTCCTGCTACGCTGAGAGTGCCAACTATGCATGAATAGTGCTGGCCTTATTTTTCCTTCACTCCGCATGGCAAGGAGACAAACACAGATATTTTCTGGGGTACAAAATGTGAAAAATGATCATTAGCTAAGTCACTTTGGCTTTTGGAGAGGCTGCACAGATGGGGCTCTGTAGGGAGACTTACAGATGGGGATCCTAGGTCGGCCCTGGGGTTAGCCGGGCAGTGTGCAGGAGCTCTCCTGAGCCTTTGGGAGGGTGGAAGATGCCATTAAATCTTCTAATTGTGGTGGTTAATATGAGGAAATCGGGGGCAGGAGCCTGAGCACACCACAAAGTACATGCAGGAGCCCAGTAACTGTGAAGCCCAATAGCCAGGTCCTGACTCCTCTCCAGAGCAGATACCTTCACAGCCCTTCAGGGATGCAGAAGGTGAGGCCACAGGGAGGGAGCAGAGGGCAGCTGAGGATGGACGAGCACGCAGATGGAAGGAAGCGAAGCGGGCAGATGGTGCTGAACAAGCTGGTGCCAATACCAGGTTTCTGCTCCATGGTGAGAAATTGCCCCTGGAGGAGTAAGCAGGACTTCATAGAAATAGTGTTCTCTAATATCCAAGTTCTAAATTGTTTGTCGCACAGGTCTGGGATGCAGAATTTCACACACAATTTCTCCAGAGAATTTCAAGGATGTCTGCTCTACACATGACCCCCTAGTACAGTAGACAGATGGTACAATGGCTGCAGGGTCTCTGCCTCAATCCCCAGCTCCCAGCATTCTCGCCTTTGGGATTATCTCCTTCAGCATGGGAAGGGCCTGAGACTTGCTCCTCCCCAGTGAGTATAGCCAAGGTGATACATGGACATCGCACATGCTCCTGTGGTTGTGGTGCAGGGGATTGCAGCGTCTGGCTTGCTGGAGGGCCCCTCTCCCCTGCCCAATTTGAAGAAGCCAGGGCTGTGTTGTGAGCTGCTGTGAGAGGACCCTGCAGTCATGAGCTGAGGGTGGCCTCCAGCTGACAGCCTATAAGGAAGTGAACACTGCCCTTGAGAGTGGACCCTTCCCTGGCCGACCCTCAGATGAAAACCCAGCCCTGGCATCAACTAGAGTAAGGTGACCAGATGTCCTGCTTTTGGCAGGACAGTCGTGATTTTTAACAATTTGTCCTGCGTCCCACAGCGTTTTTAAAAAGTCCCAATTTTTGGAAAGAATACACGACAAGCTAGGAGGGAATGGCAGGAGAACGGGAAGGGAATATACAGTTTTCGGCTGCCATGTGGCTATTTCACCAGGATATGAGTTTTATATTATTTTTGTTAATTTTATAATGTTAAACTTTAATGATAACAAATAATTGTTGAGAACTGATTATCAAGAACTGCTTATCAAAGTTTGAATTGTTGTCAGGCCCTGCCCCCCCATGGTGTCCTGCTTTACCAATATTAAAATCTGGTCACCTTAAACTAGAGCCTTCAGAGGACCCAGCAGAACCATTCCTGGATTTCTGACCTACAGAAACCGTGAGGTAATAAGTGTGTGTCCTCTTAAGTCGCTAAGTCTGTGGTAATTTGTTATGTAGCAGTAGATAACTAACACAAAGGGGAAATCAAGGAGAAGAAGCCTAGTTTTGTGCTTAGGTTCATGCAAGGCAAGCAAAACACAGTGGTAGGAAAAAGAAAATATTGAGCAATACTATGTATAAAAATATAAGAATAAAAGAATTAACATAGTTTGAACCTGACATAAGAATGAACAGACTGGCTCGGCGCCTGTAGCTCAACCGGCTAAGGCGCCAGCCACGTACACCTAAGGTGGTGGGTTCGAATCCCCAGCCCGGATCCGCCAAACAACAATGACGGCTGCAACCAAAAAATAGCCGGGCGTTGTGGCGGGCGCCTGTAGTCCCAGCTACTTGGGAGGCA